ATTCCTTATGTGCCTCTTTATATGTTTCCCAATTATTAAAATGTTTACATCTAAATTAATTTTTTAACAATTTTTTTTATCTTTTCTTGCACATTTAGATTCCACTACTAACTATTTTTTTAATCAGGATCTTTTTTACTTGATACTCTGAGCACATCTTTTATAATATTCTTAATATCACTGGCTACTTTTTCCCACATAACATTACCATCCTCATATACATATAAAATCTTAATCTCAAAAATATTTTTGTTAATATTCTTTAAATGCCCCCATCTAATCCTAGAATATCTTTTCATTTTTTTTTCTGCCCCTTTATCTTAATATCCAAATTTAATAATTGTTGTTGAATATATAAATTTTAACTCGGAATAACTTTACAATCATTGCAATCTAAATAATCTAATTTTCTTATAAGAAAATAATCATTTTGAGTTTTATTATATCTATTTTTATAAGTGATGAGATGCTCATATCTTTTCCTTAATAAGGTATTAACAATTAAAAAATTATAAGCTAAAGAAAAATCTAATATAGCCTTACCACCTTCATTTGTCATTCCAAACCCATGACCACTATGAATGCATTTAAAATCATCAACCTCTCTACCAACATGTCCATTTAAATCTCCTCTAATAAAAACTCTTTCTTCAAGAGGTATCTTTTATTTTAATTTTTCTAAGTCTTTCTAAAATTTTAATTTTGAACCCATATTCAAACCAACTTAAGGAGCATAAGCACTTATAATATTAACAATCTTAGCATCAACAATAATCTTTAAAGTTATAATTATATATTTAATTCAATTAATTTTTATAATATTATCCTTAAAACTCTTATCTATAATCACACCTACACCATTTCTAGTCTGACTCCCACTAAAATACCATAGTTTAAATCCTAAACTATTAATCTCCTCAGTCTTCTCTCAAATCCATTTAGTTTCCTAAATGCACAAAATATTTATCTTCCTATGAATCATAATATCTTCTAAAGCATCCTCCACACTATTAACTACCACATCAACTCTATAATAATGGACCTTTTTCTATCATCATTTTGGAATTTCATTGACTTCAAAACATTGAAAGTGACTTCTTCATCCTAAACTCTTATGATCAATTCCCCTTTTTAGACCTCAATCATAGCTATCCTTATTACTAGAAATGGTTTACCTAAAATAATTGGTATTTCCTTATCTTTCTTCTTATCCAACATAATAAAATCTATTGGGTAGATAAACTTGTCTACCTTAACTAAGAGATCCTCTATCACCCCTTTCGAGTAAGTGACTGATCTATCAACTAATTATAGGGTGAGAAACATGGGTTATACATCACCAAATTCTAATCTCTTGGAGATAGATAAAGGCATGAGATTAATGCTCACTCCTAAATCATACAGTGCCTTTCTATAAAACTTCTTCCCTATAGCATAAGAAATGGTAAAGCTACCAGGTTCCTTTAGATTTTTAGTGAGTTTACTTTATAAGATTGCACTACATTCTTAGTGACAGTAATAGTGTCATAATCACATAACTTCTACTTCTTTCTCAATATGTCCATCATAAACTTAAAATAACTAGGCATCTACTCGAGGGCTTCAACAAAAGGAAATTTGATGGCCAACTTCTTAAATACTTATAAAGAATTACATATCCATATTTTATTTTTTAGTCTCTATGGTAATGGAGGTGGTGATCTCTCTACAACTTTTATAATAGGTTTATCTAGTGCAGAATCGAGTTTAGGTTGTTCTAGAGATAAGTTGGGATATACTGGTGTTTCCTTGGTATGTTCATCTACTGGTACTTCCTTATTATGTTCAACTTTCTCACCACTTCCTCTAATTCTTTTCAACTTCAAAACTTAATGGTTTTGCAATGATCATTCCCTTCTCTTTAAGATAGATTTTTGTGTTGTTAGGCAAGGTTCTAGGCTCTATTTTTTTGAGGAATTAGTTAGCTACCTTAACTGATTTTCTAATTTCCTTATGGCAGCACTTTGAATTTGGAGTCGGGTTCCCATCTACAACACTAAATATTCTAAGGCCTATTATCCTTATATTTGTTATTTAAGTTAAAATTTGAAGGATAACTAGGTCTAAGGTTGGCAGAATTATGTTGTAGAGGAGGATTTTAAGTGCTACAGGATTGGGTTGTTGATTATTTGCAATGATCATTCCCCTTCTCTTTAAGATTGATTTTTGTGTTGTTAGGCAAGGTTCTAGGCTCTATTTTTTGGGGAATTAGTTAACTACCTTAACTGATTTTCTAATTTCCTTATGGCAGCACTTTGAATTTGGAGTCGGGTTCCCATCTACAACACTAAATATTCTAAGGAAGGCCTATTATCCTTATATTTGTTATTTAAGTTAAAATTTGAAGGATAACTAGGCCTAAGGTTGGCAGAATTATGTTGTAGAGGCGGATTTTAAGTGCTACAGGATTGGGTTGTTGATTATTCTAACTAAAAATTGGATGGTTCTTTCAACCTGGGTTATAGATATCATAATATGAGTTATTATGCATATTAATCAAATTTAGAGATTTTATATCTAATGAGTTATGATCACTAGGAGTTCCGTATGTAGGTTCGTTTAGAGGCATATGCGCTCCTGAGGTTACACTGTCACCTAAGTTATATAGTTTTCTAAAAATAATAGCAATCAGTGAACTCAAAATGAACAATATATTTGATTCATGCATGCTAGAAATCTTCTTAAGGTTCATTCTATTGGAAGGCCATTATAAATTATTAGTGACAATTTCCTCAACTAAAGTATATGCATCATCAAACGGCTTGGACATCAAAGAACCTACAAGTGTGACATATATAATAGCTCTAAGGGAACTTACCAAACCATTGCAAAATGTTTGAATAATCAACTAATCAGGTAAAGCATGTTTTGGGTACTTCCTAAGAAGTTCCTTAAACCTATCATGAGCCTTATAAATTAACTCCCCATCTAATTTGCTAAATTACATAATGTCATTTCTAAACTTGGCAGTTTTTTAGGGTAGAAAATACTTGGCTAAAAACTTTTGGGGAACTCATTTCAAGTTGATATAGAGCCTAGAGGTAAGAAATTTAACCATAATTTTACAATATATGTCAAGGAAAATGAAAATAATTAAATCCTAATGGCATCATCTGAGACTCCATAATACTTAAATATTGTAGCTATTTCTAAAAAGCTAGAAATATGTAGGTTAGGATTCTCAATAGGAGATCCCCCAAATGAAGTATTTTGAGCTATTTGAATGATTACATGTTTAAGTTTGAAATTATTTGTCTAAATGTTTGGTCTATTAATTCTTTGATGAATACCATCTATTAAAGGATTAGTTTATTCTCTTAATGGTACAGGCTAAGCATTATCATTAATAGGGATTTCCATAATTTATTCTTATTTATTTTTCTTAAATTTTATAATTTTTCTAAATATTTTTTTTTTTTAATTTCTTAGTCAAATTGAGATAGTATTGCTTACTACACATGCAACAAGTATTAACAGTTGGGAAAAAAAATATTCTACTTCTTTAAGTAGTACTAAACAAGTTTATATAATTTAATAACAAAATCAAATACAATAAGTAAATTTTTCTTATAAAAATACTTATAGTTACACTAATAATCAACCAATTATATAGAACTAAACAGAGTTAAACGTATATAATAATATAATAATCAAATATGAAAATAGCAAGATTAACAAGTGAATTTTAAAACTAATATCAACTTTCTTAATATTGACTTAAAATAAAAGGATCCTGGCAACAACACCAAAAATATTTTATTAAGTATGAATAATTTTACAAAATCATACACAAATTGTGGCTCTATACATGTGTATGTGTCACAACAAAATAATAAAATGATTAGTGGAGTATTATTCCCATGAGGATCAACTTAAGTCTAGTTTGAAAATTTGATAACTAATTTTGCCAAACACTGCATGTTATCTTGCCAACTTAAAGTGAACTATCCTACACTTTGTTTTTGAAATTTCTTACTTTTATAGGTTATATATAAATTATAAACTATTATAGTTCTTAATTTTATATAAATCAAAGTCACATATTACAACAAGTTAATGTGGATTAGAGTAATAGTAATCCTGCCTCTGTTGAGTTCATCCAGATTCCTACTATAGTTGCATTTTAAAATATCTCCTTAAAAACCCAAATATTAATTTAGCTCATATCTAGGTCTAATTAACACTTGTTTAAATTTATTTTGTGAATTCGTTACACCTTTGTCGAGGTTGTAGAACACACTAGATTATAACAAGTGAGTTGTCAACAACACAATTAAATTAAGCATATGGAAATATGAAACATAACATAAATCCTTTACGCATGTAATTTATTCTTTGAACATGCATAAAAGTCAATTCACTATTAGTTTATAAAAATACAACCCCATTCATGAACATGATAAAAATTATATTTTGTTTGCTACATGGGAATATAAGAAATAAGACTAGATATTAGAGGGACAGAACCAATAAAATTGATAAGAGGCTATTAGAAATCTCAATATGATCATATATGGTCCCTCTATTAACACTCTCAATATTACCCCTCTATCTCACACACTTCAACACAAGAAAATGAGAAATAAAATGCTCACACAATCTACACTCTCCCATAACATGTACATGGATAAACACACCTATGTATAACATTATTCTTCAAGTTCTTTCATTTTTTCAGTTATACAATAAGATTTCGTTTGGGACGATTTTCTTACTATTTCTTAAAGCAACTTTCTAGTTAAAAAATTTTAATTTTTGTACTATAAAACTGCTTTAAAAAGCAATAAGAAAGTCGTCCCAACCGAATCCTAAATTTATTGGTCGTACACACATAAGTACAGTTGTTTTAGTGCATGTTTATGTTTTTGGTGTATTGTGTAGAGCTCTTTTAATAAGGTTTGAGAACCTCTAATGAACTAATTATGGATAAACCAAAGGCCCCATAGGAGCAGCACATCAACTGAGAGAACAATCAATTTTTCAGTTTCAGCAGATAATATATATATAGACGGAGACCATTAGATCAGTTTAATTATTTACAAAAGGAAATATTTAAAGTTTACCACAGAATGAAGGCGAAAACCAATTCTGACAATTCAGGGTTCTAAAGGTAAAGTTCTACCATATGAATTCATCCTTGAGCACATGCTCCCATTCAGAAGAGGGGCTTCCGCTGCCACTGGAAAACAACCATTTCCCATGGCTTTTAGGGTTATAAGATTGGATTATAGATCCCTCTGAAGAAGAAAGATGTGATTCTTGAACTCCTCCTGCAGACTTTGCATTATTCAGGAAGAGCCCACTTCTTCCCATCCTACTATGATCTAAAGCAGGAAGCTTCTCACCCATCAAGTTCTTCTTTGGACTCTCAACGGTAAATTTACTCGCATAATGTGATTTCAGGACTCCCTTCTCAATGGTATCCACATCAGCCATGTTCATCTCCCCAACTTTCTCCATATCCACATGAGATTTAAGTGCATTTTGTTCCTGGGTTTCCTCAGGACCAGACAAAACAACTTCATCACGGCCCTTTAGAATTCTGAATCTCGCAGAAACTGAAGTATCAATCTCATCTTCCTTTGATGTGCTCTGCTTATGATTTGTTTCCTTTTTTCCAACTTGTGTGTTGTTGCTTCGACTAGGATTCTCCACATATACGGAAGTAGCACAGTTTAAGTCTTCAAGAATGGGTTCTGCCAATCCATCTGATAAGACTTGAGATTTGGCTGCAAATGAACAATGTTTTAGATGTATAGAAAGATGGATGGAAAGTATAATTAATTCTGAGAACATAAACCTTTGAAATGATGCTTGAAGCTTTCCAGTTCAAGCTTCATGAGAGCAACATCATACTTCAACGAACAAAGTGTCGCCTCAGTTTGAACCCACAGATTTTTATATAGAAGAATCTTAGAATCCTCTTCCTGTTCGATGAAACCACTTTTCAGAAACTTTGCAGAGGCCGGTGAGAGGAAAGAGCACCCCAAAGAATTAGGAGTGATGAAAGAAGCTTTCATGAAATTGTTATCAAAACTCTTAAGCCTTACCTGGGCCATTCCATCAGATACTTTCAAATGAGTACTGAAAGATTCCATTACGTTATCATGATTGTCATTGTTTAATCCTGAGCTCGTAGCATTCTTGTTTTCCTTACCATCCTTCGAGTCTTCATGGCTGCTCATTTCACCATTTGTTTCTTTAAACTCAGGCTGAGTCTTCTCCACTATAGGAACACGAGAAGAAGAGCTCCCTGTGATACCCTGGAGACGAAAACAAAATTCAAATGACGGTTAACAACTTGATTCAACAAGTCCATCTGATAATATAGCATAAAAGAAAATAAAAAGACAGAATATAAGAACATCAAGATAGCCCATAGTCTCCAAGATAAAGAGAAGCCCATCTATAAGAAGAGAAACCAATAAGAACATGGAAACAAAGCATGACAAAATGCTATAGAGATCACATTCATCAGAATATCTATGAGAACTACTGCAGCAGCTGCAGCTGGCGTGGTTACACAAAAGAAAATACTAGAAATATAATGAAAAATGGTCCATGCCAGAGCCCTCAAAATCATGTATATCCTCCTTGAGAAAAGAAAATTTTCATGCATGAAAAAATATGCACATAAGAACCAAATAAACAGACAGAAAACAGGTCGTCATGCTATAGACGCCAAGTTTTTATTAAGTTATTATCAACCGCATCAATCCCTTTTAAATTTAAGAGACATCATGATGAGGACATCGATCCAAGGTTCAAACATGTGTATCGCCGGAAGCATCGCAGATCGTTGGCCACGATTCAGAGCTTATATTTCTAGTTGTTTATGCATTTTATTTTTATGTTTTCCTATTGTACCCTTATGTTGAGTTGAGTCATGTTGGGGCCCTGAGGGCAATTTAGTCTTTATTTCTTCTTGTATGCTTGAGACCTATATATATGGGTCTTTTCTCTTGTAATAGCTAATGAATATTGGAATGAAATTTTATGTTATCTTCTTCTTCTTGCATGAGAGCTTGAGAAGAGAGAGAGCTCAAGGGAGCAAATCGCCAAGGCCCACCAGTTCGTTTGGAAGAGTCCGCGACTCGTGGTTAAGTTATTGTATCCTTCTCGTTTCGTGTTTTCTTCCATCTTCTTCCCCTCCACCATAAGAAAATCTCTTCCAAAACTCTTGTTGCCGCCGCCCCCTACAAAGCCCGCCGCCAGCCACTCCCATGGCCCCAGCCGGCCACCTTGCCGACGACCTTCCCCACCCATCCAATCCCTCCTTCCGCGAGTTTCCAATTTAAAATTTGAAGTTCTAATTTCAAAATCTTTCCTAATTGAATTTCCAATTTAGAAAAGTTTTCATGACGAATTCCAACTTCAATTTAAATTAAATTGGAGTCTTTTAAATTTATTTCCACGTCATCTCCCCAATTGGAAACCTTCTCCCTGTGATCCCTCCCCCTTCCCCCTCTCTCCATGCCGCCGGCCTTACTAGGCCCTTCTCTCTCTCTCTCTCTCCATTTAATGCTCACTTAAGGCATTAATTCCAAGCCAATTTAAATCAAATATCAAATCAAATTCCCCCCAAATTTCATTCAAATCCTGAAATTAATTTCAGGTTTTGAAACAACACCCTCCCCCTCTCTTGAGAACCCGCCGGCCTCCCCCTCTTAATGGCCCCATTATTTGCCATTAATTCCCCTTTAACTCCCCTCAAATTTGAATTAATTTCAATTTGGATTTCCCTCTAAATCCACTAAAATCTGAAATTAATTTCAGATTTTGGGATTAAACCTATTGCCATTGGATCTCTCTTGGAAACCACCGGCCGGCTCCTCTTCCCCCTGCTCCCGCCGCCCCCTCATCTTGCTTCTCCTTGTGATCTGTGAAGTCAAAGAAGAAAAAAGACTACGCCGCCCCTCTCCGCGTAAATGACGCATGGCGGATCCTGAGCTTGATAGCGGATTCGTGTACGACATCTACGGCGACATTCACATCACCTGTTCGCAGTTCTTCGACGTTGAATTTGGATTTGACGACACTATTGAGGAATATCTAAATCGCATCTTGCCTATTCTCGTGGACGTCAAAGACGACCAATTTCAAGACTACGATTGGATCCTCCAAGGCCATCCATCCCCGCCATCTCCGCCACCGCCGACCTTTCCGCGGATCAAGGCCATTGGTGTTGCTACCGTCCTCGTGGCATCGTTGGGTGTGATGAAGACCTTTTTCCGCTAAGCGTAGTATAGTTGAGTGATCCATCCCCAAGGTGAAAATTCTCTTTATTAAGTTGCGGATTGTTGATTAATAGCTTTTGGTATTACTACTATCTTTGGTTACCTAGGAGTTTTGGCTAATCTACATGTACTTCCTCGCCTAAGCAAGTTGAAAACTAAGATTCTTTGATGAACTTGCTTGTTATTTCGATAAGTTATTAATTGGTAATTCATTGTCAACTATTCTTAAAATTTCTTAAATGAGCTCCTGCGCATGTTGGTTTCACATCACATCAACCAGGAAAAAGTGCGATAAAAGAAAAGTAATGCGAATTCCACCAAAAACGATTTTATTAAGTTATTATCATGCGAAGAAAGCTACTTGGGAAGCTATGCCAATGATCAGTAATGGATATTCTCTAAAATCAAACAATTCTATTTTTAAACACTTTAGAAACCAAATTTTAGAACATTTTGTGAATAATTGTTCAACTCAAAATAGCGTAAATTTGAATCCATAACAGGCTAATGTAACTTTTCTAAAAAATCAAAATCTCTCCTCTCTAAACTCTTCAAAACAAAATTTTTTTCTTGAGTAATTTTAAGAGTTGTTCAAACATCTCCAAGCATGAGAAAGTCATTGCCAAGTTATCTCCACTCCATGAAAAAAGTTAGATTGCAGTAGTAACCAGATAGTGGTGTAAGTCATAGATAAATTGAGCATGGATATAAGTCAAGTGGGTGCCCAAACCACAAAAATATTTTGATGTCCCAAATTCTCTATAGCCAAGATTTTATTTCTTACAGTTTAATTATTTATTTATTTATAAATTGCTTGGAATCCAAATTATTGCAGTTAAATATTTTGTACAATATAACGTTGAGTTTCTTGCTGTGCCTAAATAGCAAATACTGCTATTTTACCACCAATTCATTTCTAGATTAGCATAGGTAACATTGATTAGTAACTTTGTTGTTTATAAAGTATATTGACATGTTGTTGATATAGTACTTCATAAGTAATTGCACATGCAAGTTCTATACTGACAAATTAAGTTTTATCATAAATCCATTCACCAAAATTCATGCTGGTGTGGTGTTGCCTTTGGCTTGGACTACTTGATTTGCTATTTAGGTTTTGAATGCTACTTGTTACATTTTTAGTTTCCATTAGCACATTTACTTGTGACGAATTAGAATTGTTAGAATTTTATGAATTCTAAGTGCAAAAAGTAGTAACACAGCAAATTCACCACCACTCACAGAGAAGGATTTCTAAAGGAGATCCCTATAATAACGTATTATCATCATTCACTCATAGGTAAATTAAAAATTTGTAAGTATAATCATCATACTTTTGCACTTATATTACATTAGTTTACACTCATCCTATATTAGTTTGCAATTCACTTGCAAAACAAAACATCAAATCCACCTCCTAAACCCTAATCACAATAACCAAACGTCAAGCATAACTATTTTTCTATCGCCTAAACTATCTCTGTTAAAAAACAATACTAAAACTACCACTTCCTCAAAATTATAAATCAATCATGCGAAATCCTCTGATAATTAACCAGAGAATTGATTGGCAGGACTTAATAATTCTAATAAATCAACCAGAGATAGTTCATGATCTTCAAAGAGAATTGATTGGCAGGACTAACCTTTTTGTTTTGCCGAACAGCTTCAAGGTTGTCAATAATTTGCTGCACAGGCTTAAGATCACATTCCTCCAACACCTTGTCATCATTGCAATAATGGCACAATAGAACTTCTGATAAACTAAGCATTGCTTTAACAAGAACTCCGGCATCTTGCCCTTGAGATAAACATTTAGTAGGGGCGTCTAATGAAACTGGCCTTTCAGCAGAAAAACTAGCATTAAGTGAAGGCAAATTCGTTTCATTATTACTAGCATTCGTGCTTGAACTAGAGGAGCAATTTGGAGAAGTAGATATGTGATTAACAGTAAAATCAGTGTTTTGGACTGCTGGTATGGTCTCAATAGCATTTGTGCTGGCTTTACAAATAATATTTTCTTTTTGACTTATTTGTTTCACATGATCACCGATACCTCGTGGAATGCTTACCTGCTCATTTAACACACCAATACGTTCTGCATGTATATCAAGCTGTTCAATTTCCTTTGCATTCTCCACTTCGGCAGTATTTGATTCTCTTTCAGAACAATCTTGAAACTTTAGATCTAAACCAGACAAGTCAGTAACTGGGGACATATCTATATCCTTCCCATTCTCATTGCAAGCAAAAGTACCATCTTGTTCTATATCAGACTGAAACCTTAAAGACCCCTGATCTAGAACCAAATCATTACTACCAGTGGCTACACTAATGACAAGAGGCTGTAAGACTTCATCAGAACTAAAAGGATACTGACGAGACACAGAAGCACCTTTCCAGCATGGAGAATCCACAGCAACATTTAGATGATCAGGCATTTCTTGAGAAGCTTGCATGGAACCATCAGGTATAAAAGCACCTCTTTCAGAGTTAGAAGCATTGCAGCAGCTCAATTTAGCAACTTTGAATCCAAATTTTACATCCTTTGAACAATCAATGGACTGTCCTAGAGCTGAGATATTCCCTGATGGAAAACCTTTTATTAGTAATGAAGTTTCTGGAGTTCTTCGGTTTCTCTGCATTGCATCGCCAGAAATGCCCATCTTTCCAAGACCCTCATTAACTTCAGCGTTTTCATAGGTGTTAGCCTCACTCTGCATACCGATTACATAATCTGAATGATCATCATTCTTTCTGTGCAGGTTTGCATGCTTAATTGTAGAGTTTCCATTTTCTAAAATATAACTTGACACAGATTCATCCCTCTCATTTGATGGAGCATATCCTTGCCCTAAAGATGTTTGAGCTGGATAATGCACTACAGGATCTCTTGAACAGGAGTCAAGTTCTGAAATATATCTATCATAGGAGCTCGGAATGAAAGTATCACATTCCTTTACTACCGAAGTGGTTTCTGGAGAGTAGAAATAAGATGATCCTTCATTGGGCCACACAGTAGCGTCTAACTTTGCAGCAAAAGAGCCACCATTAGGCACCCTGCTCTTATCCACATATATTTGTTGATGACTTTCATCTAGCCATTCTGATCCAACATGACCTAGATTTGATGAGGACTCATTATGAGCTCCATGCCAAGAACCAAAAGAATCTTCATAGGCACTGAGGCTATCAACAATACCTCCTGCAAGATAACAAAAGCAGCAAAAAGATGTACTTTCAGATTACACTGACGCCTATTGTTGAATGAAAGAGAAATTCAATGCTCAAACTGCTATATCAGAAGAGCAACACACACAGGCATTCCTCACAGACTGCATAACAAATTTGGCTTAAAGGCAAACAAATTTGATAGAAACGTAATGGGAAAAAAGATGCAGAATGTATCAATGGTCTAGGATTTGAGCTGCAGATGCAATGAAAAAAATAACAAAGTATAATTAAAATGTGATGTATTTTGAAATGTATTTATATTTTCTTTAAGAATAATCGTATGATCCATCCAACTGAAATTAGAGAACATCTGATACTCTCCTAGACGCCACAAACAGGCAAATCTTAAGTTCAGAATATATAAAAGACCTGGAGAAAAAAAAATCCCTATAACAATTCCACTCTCCAACATAAGCTGGGGATCCAACACAACAAATTTACTTTCCCAACGGCTATAAACTTGATTTCCATGAATAGGAAGAATTCAATTGCCATGAATAAAACGTCCAAAATGTCCAGATATAATCGCCATAGCTTATCCGAAGGCACCCAAGAATCATCAACCAAAGGCACGTCTTTTCACTAAACAACGTTATATTTGACATCCTCCAACAATGATGACCACAAACAAATCATCCAAAATTTTCTAGGTTTAAATATTGAGTTGCTTTCAAAACTTCTTCTCTAAATGAAGAGGTGCTGATGAAACCTAGTTGGTAATTTTATTAGACAGTTCAAGATTTGGGTTACAAATAGAAGTACTTTGTATTAAACATGCAAGATTTTGATGTTACAAATGGATTGCTCCATAATTATACCATCTTGAAAAAATGTATCAACCACAAAAGCAATCCTTTTATTGCATTTGGTAGGCCAGGTAGGGCATGGAAAAAATTGATGTTAATATTTTTAACACTACAAGTGATAGAAGGCAAAGGAGTGTAGGTTAAGAAACAACTCATTCAACTAGATACATAAACAGTATAAGAACAAGGCATCAATTGGATCAAATCAATTGGATCAAAGATCGGGAAGAATAAGCAAAAGACAGCACAGTACAATGAAAGTAAATCAGCGAAGAGGCAAAAAGAACAAGGAAATATGTATAAACAGCAATCTTACATCTCCCACAACAGGTGCAACCGAAAATATAATCACAACCGGTCCAAACGACTCAAACACAAGCAGCCGGTCCACATAGCTGCCACCGGTTCAGCTATATTTATTAAACAAATATGTATACTTATTGTTTTAGTGTTAGACCAACCGGTCCATGCCAATGTAAGGATTGGGTTGGGTCTTTAGGCTTCTAAAAGTCTATATATACCATGTATCATGTTGTATTAAGTTTCATGCAATAGAAACTTTGTTTTCTCCTCCTCTCTTCGCTCGTGGAGTTTGCACCTATTCAAAAGGTGTTTTCCCTTCTTGATCCCTCAAGAAGTGTATCAGTGTACAACCTATATTGTGTTGTTTAACTAACAAGTACGAAACACAGTTATTACACATGCAGATCTTGTTTAAGATTAGGCCAAATATAACTATCCTCTACCAGAACAACAATCTTACCTCTATCAAAATGAATTGCAATAACCTCTGCATGCAACTACGTAAAAAAAAGGAAATTTTGCAAAGAAAAAATCAAGAATACATAAATGAGTTCTTTACAAAAACAATCATCCAAAAAGAAATGTCTTCCAAGTGGGTTGATTACAAATAAAAATAAAATAGATGTCACAATATGCCGGATAAGATAATCATCTGAAACCCAATGAAAAAACCAACGACCCTAATACCCATAATATTTCCAATGTGGCTAGTTTCGAATTAAGAGCATAAGTAGTCTCATGATCAACACCCCACGTTGTGTTTAACGAAAAAAAAAAAAAAAATACTCCTAAAAGAATTGTATCCACTTAGAAGGTTAAAGGCCAAATTTCCTCTAAAAATTTAGGTGTTGTATGACTAGGTGGTCATAAAACATAACAAACGTCCTGGATAAATAATACTAATAATATCAAATTATTTGCCCAATATCATAGAACTTGCAATTATAATTTGACTATTATTTAGCCTAACTCAAGTCCTCAGTAATGAAAATTACTATATAACCATCCAAACTCAACACTTCTATGCAGATAGCGGTTGCATTACAAGCCACCTCTATGACTTTACAAAAGATAAATTTAGATATATGAGCATGGGTTAGTAACTATCCCATATCTTGAGAAGTTTGAGGTGGCAGTTAAAACTGTTGGAACTTGTATTTATTAAGTAAATTGCAAATGAGTGATAAAGTGATATGAAAAATCCTAATGAATCTCCTACACAAAGTAGCTAACTTACCCAAAAAAAAAAACTCCTAATGATATGAATATTGACTTGATTTCCAACATATGCTTCAAATGCAAGACCAGTCCTTCCAAATAGGCTTGGTCGGTTCATTTCACGTGCAACATGTGATCATATTACATTCAAATCTCACTTCAGTAACCTTTAGTCAGCCACTCCAAAGAAGTCCATGAAGATTGCAATTGATGAATAACTCCCCTCCCTTTTCTAATTTCCTTGTAGCCAAACACCCCAATGATTATTGATGTATTTTTATTTCTTATTCCTCTACATAATTCTATATAAGAACATTCTTAAGAATTAATGAATAAAATATTGAATTGATTTTGTGTAACACCCCACAATACCCCTTAACAGTAAGGTAGAGTGTAACAAGAATAAACATACATTTCTATCACTAAACATCTCATTATGATTTCATTACATTAAGACTTCATATAAAAGATCATACAAACTTCATCTAATACAATAAAGGAAGCATGTACCAATTCCCAAGTTTCATCAAAAACCTACTACAGAGCCACTAAGGGAAACCAAATAATTTCAAAGTAATACATGTCTAATTTGCTTTCATAACTTGAAAATTAAACTTACTAACAAAAAGTAACCTAACATGAAAAGAAGAAACACTTGCATAAATTAGCATGCATCAATCTTCTCTTTTCCCTTTCCTGTAACAACAGCCAAAAGAAAGTTCTGGTGGGCTCTGAGGCTCAGCAAGTAATGCAGGATTAATTAGCAATTAAAATAGTATAACATGAATAATTACAACATTGAAAATTATTATTGAAACATTACAAGTCTTGATCAATATCATGCTTTGCTATCTTTTGAATCTTTTTTGAATATAAATTTTATGTGAAATATTTTGCTATATTTTCATAACATTATTCAATGGAGCCCAGGTAAACTTGGCATTATCGCCATTGAATTACATAGAGGTCCCTTTTGCCCCACCTGCTATGCAGATTTCATAATTCTTTTGGGTCCTTTTGCCCCACTTATCATGTAGTTCTGATATGGGAACCATTTTGTCCCAACTACAATGATAAGGTATACATTATTCATAGCCCAACTTTACATTAATTTAGTATTCAACATTCTTTCATAATTCATATCATATCAGTCTTCATTATCATTCATGATACATCTTGTGTAAGGCTAATATACATAAGTTTTTCAAGAAAGATCACCTTAGAAAACTTTCCAATGACCTTACAAAACATTGACTTGGAATTATATTATGACAAAGATATAAACATCATGTCATATTTAAAGGTGTGAAGAAAACATTCTAAATCAAAACAAATGAAAAATAACATATAAGTTTATTTAAACATTAATCTTTGCTTTACTTACCTTCTTGCTGAATGCCCTCTCCTAATTCTACACCAAGTAATCTTCTCCTTTGATAAACTATCTTAAAACTTTCTTTCTGCATAAATACAATGTTTAAAATTGTGTATTCGGGTATTGAGGCGTTTTTCATTCGTGAGGCGAGGCGTAAGCCTCAAAATCAAAAGATTGCGAAAACATAAAATAATAACTTTTTTATATATTAATGAGTGAATAATTTAAAACATAAAAAAGCTTAAGATATGAAGTGAAATCAAAATATCCCAATAATAAGATAACATGAAATATAGTTCAACTCAAATTTCTATCTTTCCCAAATCCCAGTATTCTTTTCATTAACATATAATTCCAATTTCCAAAAATAAATAGCAATGACATATTACATAAGAACTCATAAGTCATCAGCACTGTCATCACTAAGGGATTCTTCATTTGAATCATCATTATGATGAACTGCTCTCTCCCCTTCCTCCTCTCCCCTATAGAATCCAATGTCGGGCATTTACTTCAAGATTTATGTAAGTTTTATATTCCAAAGTCACTGTGCTGATTTTCAAATAGTTCCTGAACTGTTACAGTGGTCTCAAGCACTGTGCCAACCAAAGAAACAAATTCTGCACTCAGCCGAAGTCTACTCTAAGTATTCCATAGAAATATGCTACAGGACTCTTGGTCGAATGCTTCAACAAGCCTTTCTACTCAAATTCTTACCGAATTGCTCTCTTCAGGATAGCAGCACAGTATTGAAATAGCTTATAACAAATTTCTGCGATCCTGGCTACAGTAACTATCTCCGAACAAATGCACAGTGTTTCCTGCACTATGTCGACTCCTTCAGGCTTCCTGATGGCGGTTCTTCTATCGTTCCGTGAGAAGACTTTTGGTATGCGTGAAATTCTCTCGAGAAGGGATTTGGGAAGATGTAGATAGAGATAAAGAGGGCCCACAATAACTGATTTCAACCAAAGAGAGCATCTCTTGAAATTAAGAAATTATTTAATTGATTTAATCCAATATTTATTACCACAAAAACAATTGTTTTCTTAACATAAATAAAATTGTAATTAATTTGATTCTTACCTAAATTTTCTGGCATTACATTTTGCTTGTGAGAAAACCCTTGAGAAGCTTGGTGGTCAATTCAACTTTGAGACTTTGGTGAGTTTCAACTTATCCACTTTGGTATTTATTCCTCTTTTTCCTTTTACCTCCAAGTTTCAATTATATACCTAACCCTAACCACTATTTATAGTTCCTCCACAA